CCCGGGCAGCCGGCGGCGGCGCGCGCCGCTTCTGCCTGGGAGAGGGACCCGCCGCCAGTCCACGCGCCCACAAATCCATGGAGGGGGCCCAGGCCCCCCCCCAAGAGACCCCCAGGAAGCCCCAAGAAGCCCCCACGAGGCTTCCAAGCGGCCCCTCAGAGCTCCCCAAGAGGCCCACAAGCTACCCCCAAGAGGCCCCCAAGAGCGCTCGTCGTCTTCGTCGTCGTCGTCGCCATTCAGGGTCGGCGGCACCGGCCGTGAGGCCTTCGCAATCCATGGAGGGGGCCCTGGGACACACCAAATACATACACACGAAGAGACGGGATCCCCCATATCTTTCCCCATGTTTTCTGGGTTTTGGGTCTTCCCCCCCCCTTCTTCAAATATGTTCGCGCATGTTCCTGGGAGTCGACGATCCATCGTTGCCTGTGTTTTCGTTCCCTCCTGATCCATGTCTTGCGCCCCCTCGACTCTGGCAATGCTTGCTGCCTCTTGAACTACCCTCAGGTCGAGCATGTCCAGTTGTCCTCCTACAGAGGGCTTTTGCACGAAACATACAAACTAGCCCAAGCATGCCCCAAAATGAAGAAAAATAAACACAAAAATCGCCCCCCGACTATTTTTTTACTATTTTTGAGTTTTCCTCCTGTAGAGGGACATGCCCGCCTAAAAACTACCCCGTGGAGCCTCCGAGGGGCTTCTCGGGTCGGGCGCAAGGGGGGGACAGCAACGGGAGGGTTTGAGAATCGGCTCACGTAGCTGATTTTCCCGGCGCCTCCCCCGGCGCCAGAGGCGCCCACGTATCGAGGAATGGGCCCCTCGGTGGGGCCGAAACCAGCTGCATGCCGCAAATTTCGCAATCCTAAAACAGTGCTAGGATCGGGATAAATCGCTCCAGAGCGTTCCGGAGCGCTCTCAGAGCGTTCCGGAACGCTCTGGAGCGGCCGCGGCGCCCAATAAATCATCCAAGCCCGCCGATTCCCAGAGATTTCGAGTTATCCCGATCTTCGCGTCGTTTTACAATCCCCCCTCTCCCAACCCCCCCCCTTCGTCCGGCCCGAGCTTCCCTGAGAGCCTCCGAAGGCCTCCATGGAGGCCCCGCTGGGCTCCCCGGGGGGGGGGGCGCCCGGAGCCTTTTGCAGAGCGAAGGGCCCGCCGCGCCGGGCGAGGACGAGGCTCGGCTTCGGGGTGCCGCGGAGGCGGGTCCACGAGAAGCCTCCCACAAGAAGGAAGGGGCCCTGGGACACACAAATAAATACACACACAAATAGTATGACTCCCCATATTTCCCCATATGTTCTGGGTCTTCCTCTGCCCCCCCACAGTGCCCATATTTTCCCATGTTTCCCTGGGGATCGACGACTACTTGTGTGTGTTGTTTCCCCTCCTGAAAGAAACCCAACCCTGAGACCCCGGGACGTCCACTGACTTTTAGTGTGGGCACGTCACGCCATACACAGCAGAACCATCGAAACCCAAGAAACCTAGGGCACCCCGGAGGCAAACAGAGTGTTTCGTGACATGGGCTTCCACTGTGTGGGGTTCGAGGTGCGAGGTTTGGGGAGAGGGACCCGCCATGAAGAGGCTCGAGGTATGATTTTTGATTGGATCGTTTTCCCATTCGCTTTCCTTTGCATCCAGGAGCTTCCTTGTCGCACAGCTGGATTCCACGCGAATTTCTTGCCAGAACGTTCCCCAGGTCAGGTCCAGGGGCCTGTTTTTGGCCCCTGACCCTTCTTCTCGTCATGAAGAGAAAGGAACATTCAGGGAAACAACTACTGCATGGCTCGCCATTCTCAACCTCTCCGAACACTCCTGGGCCCCGAGACCGTCAGAGAACGGCTCCGGATAAGAAACTGGCCCCACTTCGGTGGCAACTCATGGAAGCCTCCCATATTATCTTGTCGGCTCTCGCGAATCCACGCTGATCGACGCTAAATCGGCGCGACCTCATCGACTCCCAGACGCGAATCGACGCCAATCGACACGAATCGACGGAAGCAAGACGGTATACCAAGTTCCCATGTTTGGAGTCCCGAAACGGTGCGGTGACAGACCGTGCGGTGACCTCGGAACCCCAAGAGACCTCACCACACGGTCCGTCACCGCACGGCTTTGGGACCTCGGAGGCCCCTGTCGCCCGAGACGTCCTCGGAAAGAGACTCGAGCCCGAAACCCGTGCGGTGACCCCGAATCCCTACCGACTCGCCGCACGGTGTGGTCACCACCCCCTTTGGGGGCCCCCGACCAGGATCTGCTGCCGAATGGCCCCACGGGGGAAGGCCTCCGCGTCCGGGACACGAGCCCCCCAGGACCCGTGCCCCCTCGCGCCAAACAGGGAAGCGGGGCGAGAAGGGCGGAGGGCCAAGGGGTCCGTTCCGGCCTTCGGGCTTCTGGGAGGGCTTCCGAGAAGACGGGATGGCTTCCTCTTCCTCTTCCTCCTCCTCCTCCTGCTCCTGCTCCTGCTCCTGCTCCTGCTCCTGCTACTGCTCCTCCTCCTCCTCCTCCTCCTCGTCCTCCAGCTCCTCCTCAGTCCTCCTCTTTTGCCTCATCTGCTTCGGGGCCAGCTTGGGGTCGCTTCTGGGTCAGGTGGGTGGGGGTGGGAGGGGTGGGAGATTATGATGAGCGATATTCTATGTTCCTGAGTCTTGCTCCACGGCGATCTTCTGAAGATACTGTCCCCGTGCATGCTCATTCCCGTGTTCTCTTTTCAAGGTACCTGCCATGGGCCGATCGGGCGCTGCTCTGCGTTGCCTCTCGAGAAGGCGGCTGGTCCATTGGAAGAACTGGCCCCCCTGAAAGGATTGTAAGAAGGCTTCGTAAATAGGGGAAAACAAACCTACCTCGTTTTTGACCACCCTCGCTTCCAAGAGATACCAAGCGATGCCAAATTACGGCCTGTACTGGACAGGTCGCTTGACGAGGAGGCGCGTGGTATGACTTGGTTTTTCCTGGAAGCGAAAGCGGGGTGGGTAATTCACGCTCTGAGTAAAGACAGGAGGGCTTCTGAAGGACAGGATACCTTCGCAAAAGAGCGAAGCCCTCGTCCAGTACCCCCCTCCTCCTTCTTCCCGCCTCCTCCCGTCCCCAGGGCCCCAATCGGGCCCTAAGAGGGCCCCAAGAAGGGCCCACGAGGGCCCAAAGACCTCCCGAAAGGGCTCCTAAAAAGGCACCATGAGGATCCCAAGTTCCTCCGAAAGAATGCCAAGAGGGCTCCAGAGGCGATTTGAGGGCTCTGCCCTTGTCCTCGTCCTCGTCCGTGCCCTCATCGTATTCCGTTTCGTTTTCCTCCTCTTCCTCGTCGTCGTCGTCGGCGTCGTGGTCGTGGTCGTGGTCGTGGTCGTGGTCGTCGTCGTCGTCGTCATCGTCTTCCTTCTCCTCCTCCTTCCCCCGCCCCCACGCGGGCCCCAGGGATGGCCCGACGAGGCCCTCCGAGGCCAGCCACCCCCTTGCTCCCAGAGATCTCTCTATTCACACTTGTTGCTCTGTTTCACTACATGTTGAGACGAGCCAGGACGAGGGCAAAAACGGGTGAGGAAAACTCAAGAATATCTGCGATACGGCGGATCTGGTGGATCTCTCTGTCGCCGCGGCCTTCTCAGAGCGTTCCGGAACGCTCTGAGAGCGTTCGGGTGCGCGTTTCAACGGATTCATCCTCGTCTTAGCCTTGTCCGACATGTGTCCCTTCGTCACTTTTCCCGTCAACTCTCATGGACAGGGTCTGTGAATTGGCTGGTGGGGATACGCGAAGCGTGAAGAACTGAACTTGCACACAACTGAAATGCCCAGAGTGTCTATCCGGAGCGCGCGACAAGAGGGGGGGCGCACCTTCCTACGAGTAGGGGATCGACTACAGAATTGATTTACCCCAAAGTGATTGGTTCGTCGACGCCACGAGAAATACGCATGCTTCGTAGATTCGGCGGAGAAATCAATTTCGGGGCAAATCGATTCTAGTCGATCCCCCATGCGAACCCATGCAAAATCCATATCCAATGCGAAAATCCCCTATTCGATCCTGTTCGTCGAATCCATGCTGAATGCGTAGAACGATCGTAGATCGACTAACATTCTACGTCTGACTCGACGATAAAAGAATCCGCCGACCACTTGGGGATCATCGGCGTGTGAGATGCTTCCCCCTCCCCAAACCCCTCCCCCCGTAACCCGGTCCAGTCGATTTGGAGGCGGGGGGGCCGTCCGGCCCGAGCTCATCAGGGGGACTGGCCCTTCCCGGGCTCCTTTTGAAGGCCCACGACCCCCAAACAAACAAAGGGGCCGGCGGCGTGGCGTAAGCCTCAGAATCAATTACAGTGGAGGCCACTCCACGAGAAACCTTCCACAAGAAACCCAACCCTGAGACCCCAAGACGTCCATCGACTTTTGGTGTGGGAGCGTCACGCTTTCCGTAGCAAAACCATCGAAACCCAAGAAACCCAGGGCACCCTGGAGGTAAGCAGGGTGTTTCTTGGCATGGGCCTCCACTGTATGGGGTGAATCAAATAGGTGGTCGATCCCCCTGTTCGAAGCCTCCCCGAGACCAGCTGCGACATCGCGAGAGTCTGCTCGCGGGACATGACGTTGCCCAGCGTCAGGGCGGTCGCCACGGACGGGGCGTGGGGCCTCGAGGAGGAGGAGGAGGAGGAGGAGGAGGAGGACCCTCCCCCCCTGCGTCGCTCGGGGACCCACTCGGGCACGCATGGATGCCGACCCGGGCTGGTCGGGCGTTGCGGGGGGCGGCCAAGAGGGGGGCGTCCATTTGGACGCCCGACAACAAATGTTGTTTTAAATCAACAGGGGTACGAAGGTCTGGGCGTCCCGCCTTTGGGGGGGGCGTCCATGGGTACGGAAAAAATGGGTACGTCCATGGGTGCGGAAAAAATGGGTACGAAAAAAAATGGTACAAATCAACAAATGCTGTTTAATTCGGGCTTTGCGGGGGCGTCCATGGGTACGGAAAAATGTGTACAATGCCCAACAACACATGTTGTTTTGAATCAACAGCGGCCGCTGTTGGGCAGGCGGCCCCCTGTCCCGAATGGACACAGGCCGCGGCGGCGTGGACAGCGAATCCTGTTCAAAATGAACAGGAACTGCTGCTGGGCATTGTATCCATTCTTTCCGCGCCCATTTCGGGCGTCCAGAGTCCAAGAGGGGGGACGCAAATCATGGCCGGCGGCACGTGCGCGGCCCAGGGTGGGGCCGCCCTGGGTCGATGCAGCCCCGGGCCAGGCGAGCCTTGCAGGATCCTGCGCCCAAGCCTCGGGTAAGGGACCGACCACGGAATCGATGCACCCCAGCACTGATCTCCCCGCCGCATCTGCGAAAGATGCGTAGAACGTGCCGAAGATCTACGCACCTTCTACGCGTGTCTTGATTTTTCGGCGGGAAAACTAAGTTTGACCTATACCGTTCCGGGTCGAAGCAGACCCGGGTCAGTCGGGCTTTGCATGATCCTGCAGGATTTGGCGGCGCGCACAGGGGGGTAGGGGGAGGGGGGGAAGGCTGCTTAGAAGGAGGTTGCTTCTTAGAAAGCGCAGGCCTTGCCTATAGATTTACGGCACGCCTTCTAAGAAGCAAAGTGAAGGGAAACTGGGACACGCAAATAAATACACACAAATAAACAGATTCCCCATATTTTCCTATATGTTCTGAGTTTTTGTCTTCCCCCCCACTTCCCATATTTTCATATATTTTCTGGGAAATCGACGATTAATTGTGTCTGTGTGTTTTTTCCCCTCCTGACAAAGGCGCTTCTGAGAAGCCTTCCCCCCTGCCCCTCCTCCTACCCCCCGCTGCGCGTGGCCATCGGATCCTGCACCCAAGCCCGGGTCAGTGCGCCCCTGGCTCTGCAGGACCCTGCAAGATCCGGCGCTCTGGCTGACCCCCGTTTGCATGGACCCTTGCCCCTCTTCAGCCCTGACATCACAAGAAGAAGAAGAACAACAACTGCAGGCCTCTGACCCACCACCCACGCACGGTGGCGGGATAGGCCGACGGCCACTGGACAAATGCTGAGTGAGAGGAGGGGAAGGAAAAAGAGAGGAGGGACGAGGGCGAAGAAGGATCACATCAGTCGGAGCGCCCCGGATCGGCGGCACTGGCCGAAGGCCACTACAATCACAAGAAGAAGAAGAAGAACAACTGCATAAACAGAAACGTTTGGCGCTCCGTGCGGATTTCTTGGATCTGCGCTGGACCCCCCTCCCTGGCGCGCGGAGCGCGCCAGGGGCGGCGCCGGAGGCGCCGCGCGGGGGGCCCCAGCGCGGATCCAAGAAATCCGCGCGGAGCGCCACAAGTGTATGTTTACGGCGTTCTTATTCTTCCTTCTTCTTCTTCTTCTTCTTCTTCTTCTTCTTCTGAGAGAGAGAGAGAGAGAGAGAGAGAGTCGGGTCGGGCGAAAGGGGGGGATAGCAAAGGGGGGGGTGAGAATCAGCTCACATCAGCTGATTTTCCCGGCGCCTCCTGGCGCTGGAGGCGGCTATGTATCGAGGAATGGGCCCCTCGGCGGGGCCGAAGCCAGCTGCATGCAGCAAATTTCGCAACCCCCCCTTTCCCAATCCCCCCCTTTCGTCTGGCCCGAGAGAGATAGCCGGCCGACCGAGCCGCCAGTCGCGCGAGCGGATCGGTCGGGTCGATCGATCGAGGAGCCGCCCGCCGACGCGATCGAGAGGGGGCCTCCAGCTGCACCCATCAGTCGGAAGAGGTAGGTAGAAGCATGAGTGAAGGGGCCCCAGGACACACAAATAAATACACATAAATAAAAGGATTCCCCATATTTTATCATATTTTCTGGGTTTTTGTCTTCCCCCCCACTTCCCATATTTTCCCATATTTTCCTGGGAGTGGACGATTCATTGTGTCTGTGTGTTTTTTCCCCCTTCTGAATGAGGTAGGCTGCCTATGGGGCCACGAGGCGAGGAGGAGGAGGAGGAGGAGGAGGAGGAGGAGGAGGAGGAGGAGGGAGGAGGAGGAGGAGGAGGAGGAGGAGGAGGAGGTGGAGGAGGAGGGGCGTGCCGAGCCAGGGGCAGGCGGAGGGCCGAGGCCAGGAAGGCAGGAACTGGCACGAGAGGAAGTGCAGTGGCAAACGAGGAGCGCACAGCACCACGAGCGACAACACGGCGCGAGCGCAAGCATTCGGCAACTCACAGCATCTGCTGGGTAGTCGAGGCCAATCTGGCGCCAATCTGGCAGGCCCAATCTGGCAAACGGGGGCAATCTGGCGAGGGAGCCAACGCGAATCCAGTCTGGCGAATAACCCAAAGTATCCACTTTGGCCAGGCCAGATTGGCCCTTGGGGCCCAATCCAATCTGACAGTCTGGCCTTCGACTACCCAGATCTGGGGGCCATGGGGTCACTCGGGAGTTGGGCCGACTGGCCTGCTCGAGAGGCCCGCAGAGCATCCCTGAGAGCGAGCAGCTGCGCCCTGCTCCTTCAACCGAGTTTGCCCCGTCGAGGCCGAAGGCGCCAGGCCTTGGCACGCGGGAGAGGACAGCCGCCGCAGATGTGGCCCGGTGGGCGTGCTGGAACCGATCGGTGCCAGATCGACCGGCCCAGCCTGCCGACACTGCCGCTCGTCGTCGCACCTCAGCGGGGAGCGAGGGGGGAAGTGAGAAGCAGGAGGCCTGCTCAGAAGGGTCGCAAGCCCCCCGGCCTGCTGAGAAGTGCTCAGAGCCTCCCCCGAAGACACAGAGCACTTCTCGGAAGGCTGGGGAGAGCTTCCGCCCCGCCGCCTTCCGAGAAGGCCTCCTCCTTCTCACTTCCCCCCCCTCGCTCCCCGCCGAGCATGGATCGATTGGTGCGTGGCCCTGGGCCTCCGGTAGGTGGAGTAAGGCAGGTAGGCCAGCGCGTGCGGGATCATCTGCGGGGCGTGCAGGACCACGACGCCGCAGAAGCGCAGGGTGCGGAAGACGTCCACCGCGAGCGCGTTGTGCCACAGCAGGCGCAGGCGGTCGGCCACGGTGTCCCAGTCGTTCGCGTGGGCCTCCGCGTGGAGCACGATCGGGTGCGTCAGCGCGGGGCAGTGCAGCAGGCGGCTCATCGCCACGCCATTGAGCCACACGCCCGCGTCCTGCTCCACGTGGAGGCTGGAGAACTCGTACGCGAGCGCCAGCGGCGGCGGCGCCGTGTCGCCCAGGCGCACTGGGCGGTGCGAGTCCTCCGCCTGCAGGCGGGCCTCCGCGCCGCCGTGCGCGTAGTAGAGGTCCGACAGCGCCCGCAGCAGCCGCACCGACTCGAACACGTTCACGAAGGTGGTGGGCCCATTTTCCACCACCACTGCCATATGTAGGAGAGGGAGGAGGAGGAGGAGGAAGAGGAGGAGGAAGAGGAGGAGGAAGAGGAGGAGGAGGAGGAGGATCTCCTCATCCTCCCTTCTCCCCTCCCCCGTCCTACATATGGTAGCGGTGGTGGAAAATTTGCCCAGCAGAAGGTACTGTCGGGCGCGAAGTCCAGGAAGTGCCACGTGCGGCCGGGGCCCGGCGAGCGCCGGCTGGCCGGCCGGGGCCGCGCGGCTCCGGCCTCGCGCTGGAGCTCCTGCAGCCAGGAGCCCCGCGGGGACCGCGCGCGCAGCGCCTCGTAGGAGGCCCGCAGCTCCTCCGCGGCCACGCCCGCGCCGGCTGCCAGGGCGTCCAGGTCCGAAGCTGCCACCTGCCGCCGCGAGACGCGTGGCGCGGCGTCGAGCCAGCGTGCGGACCAGGTGTCCTCGTGCCCCGTGCAGCCCAGCCGCCGCAGCTGCACAAACCAGTCCGGCCACCTCGCGGCGCGCTCGCCGGGCGGCGCCATCAGCGGCGTCTGTCGCTCCTCGTGGTACCGGGCCACGGCCTTGCCGCCTCCGAAGATCAAGAACTCCAGATGGATGGGCCCACCGACGCTTGGTCCATCGGCCCCTGCACGAGCGGGAGGCTGGTGGGGCATCCGATGGGGGAGGGGGGGGGGCACCCCAGAGGGCTTCCAAGATGCCGAAAGCTCAGCCTCTGCTCGGAGCTCCAGGGCATGCAAGCGGTAAGCACTCCTGCCCTTCGAGAGCCCCTTGCCTTACTAGAAAGAACCCCCTCGCCCAGCGCCCTTGTGCGCGCCGCCGAGAGGCAGGACCCCCATCGGATTCCCCCCCTCGGACGCCCGAATTATCCGGGATAGCTGCCATCCAGGGTAACTCTGGCTTGAGCTCCAGTGGCGCAAACCCGCAGCTGACCCCCTGACCACCCTCAGCCCTGATGATTCGGGAGGGCTGGACGCCCAAATGATGCGGGATGACTGCGGGCCGGGGCACTTGACCTGGGTAGTCGAAGCCAATCTGGCACCAATCTGGCGGGCCCAATCTGGCAAACGGTGGCAATCTGGCAAGGGAGCCAACGCGAATCCAGCCTGGCGAACAACAACAAAAAAACCCAACCAGATTGGCCCCAGGAGCCCAATCCAATCTGCCAAACTGGCCTTCGACTACCAAGTTAACTCCGATTTGGGCTCCCGTGGCGCGAATCTGCAGCTACCCCTGACCACCCCCGGCGCTGATGATTCGGAGCTCTGAACCCCCCAGACTCTTGTCAAACCTGCGCGGCACTTGTCCACGGCGCTCGGGAACGCGTCCACTGTCCAGTAGAACAGGCGCAAATCGAGCGTCGCGGAGCTCGACTTTGCGGCGAGCCGGCAACCGTTCCTCAGCAAGAAGGGCAGCTGACTGTGCATGGCGCCCACAGTCTCCACGAGTTCTGGAAAGGCTCCAAATGCTGGAAGCCGATGCACTGACAACCCCCAGTGCAGGTCCATCAGATTCTCCCCAGCACGCATCGCGCGATTGACGTCTGGAGAGCAGTGCATGTTTGGGTGGTGCACCATTGGCACTCCGTGCGCATGCACGCAGAAACCGAGGGTCAAGTCGTTGTACTGTATCAGGGGGCAGTCTGGCGTCAGCAGTCGGGGGGCGACCAGCTCGTACGCGGCAGCGCTCAGCAGCATGCCCGCTCCGCCGCACGGGTAGTCGTAGCCCAGCACGTGAGCGTCGCTCAACACGTACGTGAAGAGCACGGGCACGGCAGGGTCGTGGTCGGCAACGAACCCCAACAGACGGTCCACGTAGACCCAGGTGTCGTCGTCCGCGAGGATGACCCACTTCGCCCTCCCGACAATGCTCGGGTGCGCCCGCATGTACTCCAACTGCCTGCTCTGGGCGTCCCAGTACCCCGTGACGTCGCCGCCGCCCGGGTCGGGCTCGAACCGCCACTGCAGCTCCCGGGGCACCTCGCCCAGCCAGTCATCGACGAGGTACAGGCGCTGCACTGGAGACTCCCGCCAGGCCTCCTCCGGGAGCAGGGCAGGCCGGCACCAGGACCCTGAGACCCAACGTTGACGAACGAACAACACACACCACCCATAGGGAGGTCGTTGGGAGGAGGACTGGCTATGGGTATGGGTGCGGGTTGTCGGACCCTGGGGAACGCTCCCGCTCGAACGGGGACCCCCATCCGACAACACGCACCCATAGCCCTCTCCGACCCCCCTATGGGCATGGGTGTGTTGTTGGTTCGTCACAGGGCCCCAAAGCCCAATTTTCCTGCGCCAACTTCCGAGCCAGACCGACCCGTGAAGAGGCCACGGGGAGACACGCGGGGGCCCGAGAAGGTCGGGCGCCGGAGCCCGGCGTGGGAGGGCCCTCGTGGGTGTGTGTGGCGTCGCTGCGTCTAGAGGAACAAAAAAAATTATCCCAGTGCGACCCTACCTAGGAGTTGGAGCCCCTACGAAAGCAGCATTAGTAGTAACAGTAAAGCTAAGCTAAAGCTAAGCTGAAGCTAAGCTAAAGCTAAGCTAAAGCTAAGCCAAAGCTAAGCTGAAGCTAAGCTAAGCTATGCTAACACTAAGCTAAAGCTAAGCTGAAGCTAAGCTGAAGCTAAGCTAAAGCTAAGCTGACGCTAAGCTAAGGCTAAGCTAACACTAAGCTAAAGCTGAGCTAAAGCTCAGCTAAAGCTAAGCTGAAGCTAAGCTAACGCTAAGCTAAATATAAGCTAAAGCTAAGCTAAAACTAAGCAAAAGCTATGCTAAAGCTAAGCTAAAGGTAAGCTAACACTAAGCTAAAACTAAGCAAAAGCTATGCTAAAGCTAAGCTAAAGGTAAGCTAACACTAAGCTAAAGCTAAGCTAAAGCTAAGCTAAAGCTAGGCTAAGGCTAAGCTAAAACTAAGCTAAAGCTAAGCTGAAGCTAAGCTAAAGCTAAGCTGAAGCTAAGATAAAGCTAAGCTAAAGCTAAGCTAAAGCTAAGCTAAAGCTAAGCTAACACTAAGCTAAAGGTAAGCTAACACTAAGCTGAAGCTAAGCTAAAGCTAAGCTAAAGCTAAGCTAAAGCTAGGCTATCACTAAGCTGAAGCTAAGCTAAAGCTAAGCTAAAACTAAGCTAAAGCTAAGCTAACACTAAACTGAAGCTAAGCTAAAGCTAAGCTAAACCTAAGCTAAAAATAGGCTAAAGCTAAGCTAAGGCTAAGCTAACACTAAGCTAAAGCTAAGCTAAAGCTAAGCTAAAGCTAAAGCTAAGCTAAAGCTAAGCTAAAGCTAAGCTGAAGCTAAGGTGAAGCTAAGCTAAAGCTAGGCTAAGGATAAGCTAAAGCTAAGCTGAAGCTAAGCTGAAGCTAAGCTGAAGCTAAGCTAAAGCTAAGCTAAAGCTAAGTTACAGCTAAGCTAAAGCTAAGCTAAAGCTAATCTAACACTAAGCTAAAGGTAAGCTAACACTAAGCTGAAGCTAAGCTAAAGCTAAGCTAAAGCTAAGCTAAAGCTAAGCTAAAGCTAAGCTAAAGCTAAGCTAAAGCTAAGCTAAAGCTAAGCTAAAGCTAAGCTAAAGCTAAGCTAACACTAAGCTGAAGCTAAGCTAAAGTTAAGCTAAAGCTAAGCTAAAGCTAAGCTAAAACTAAGCTAAAGCTAAGCTAAAGCTAAAGCTAAAGCTAAAGCTAAAGCTAAGCTAAAGCTCCCAGGGGACTGGGGGAACCGCGGGGCGGGGACTGGGGGAACCGCCCGGGGCGTGTAGCACTGCCCGGCCCCTTTAAGCAAAGAGAGTAAGAACCCTTCTAGGCAGAGCCTAGGTAGGGAACTATGCCCATACAGTCGGGGCGTTGACCTAAGGAACCCTAAATAAGGGACGAGGCCCCTCCTCTCCCATAAGTTAACCTTCGATTCCCCATCGAAAACATTGGGGAAACCTGAGGCAAGCTGTGAAACAATCAAGGAACGCGGAGCCCCTCCCCAACGAAAAGGGTTCCTTGTTCAGGGCCCCGACTATACACCGATCCTGGGCAGGCCCATCCTGCGCCCAGGATCGGTGCCATACGCCCTCCCACCTTGGCCAGGAAGGCATATGCACCGATCATGGGTCAAGGATGGGCCCTGCCAGGATCGGTGCACGTGCCCGATTCTCTCCGCCCGAGGGTCTGGGCGTCCCGCCTGAGACTCCTCCTCCTCCTCCTCCTCCTCCTCCTCCTCCTCCTCCTAGCTCGCATCTCCAGCTCGGGAGAGCGCGGACCACCTCGGCGGGGAGGCCCTGCTGGTGGTGGCGCCCCAGGCCTCCGACGTGTCTCGCGTCGCTCTGGGCACGGCCCTCTGAGCTCTCTTGGCCCTCAGGGCCCCGTAAACCCGGACACGCTAAACCTGGACACCCAACATCCCTCGAAGCCAATTTGTCCAGACGGCGGCACGAACAAAATAAGGCCTGAGGCCCAGCCCCTTCTCCGGGACCGGCTCGTCGTACGCCGCGTCGTGCTTTCTGACGGCCCTGCCTGGGGTCAGGTCGGGCATGTCCTCCAACAGGCAGGTTTTTGGAAGACGAGTCAAGCATCGCCCACACCGAATCAGAGCTATCAAACGAGCACGAGAGGCCGTCACCGGACTTCTCTTTCTAGCTGTATGCTTGAACACGTTCCTGTAGGGAGACAGACCTGCCCGACTTCACCCCGGGGGCCGAGAAGGGCACAAGGAAGCCGGAGAGGAGGTACAGTTGGCCACGCTTCAAGATGTTGGAGATTTGGGGATCGGCGGTCAATCATCGGTTAGGTCGGCCGTGTCCTCCTACAGGCGGCTAGTGGACGAAAACATAGCCCAATTTAGTCTTAAAATTTCAGATATTCAAAAAGCCCCCTGACTAGTTTTGTCTGTGTGCGAATATTCCTCCTGTAGAGGGACAGGCCCGACTTAAATCCATCTGCCCCCTGGCCTGTCCCGGGATGCACTCCGGGGAGGAACCCAGCCGCGGCGACGAAGGGCCCCAAGGAGCTCCAAACAGAAAACGTGCAGGGACGCACCCAAGAGAAGCCTGGAGCCCGGAAGTCGTTGTGTCCTCGAGACGCGGACCCCTTGGGCGTCGCTCAGTAGTAGGTCGGGCGCGTCCCCCCACAAGCGGACTTCGGAGGAACCAATGAAGCATAGAAAACAGAATAAATCGTCCACCGACTCTTTATTTTACTTTATTTTACTAACTTCAAATGTTCCCCCTGTAGAGGGACACGCCCGACTTAAGCTTACTGGGAGGCCGATACACGTCGGCCGGAAGAAGTAGGTGTAAACATGAGGTAGGACGGCGGATGTAGTGGCTTGGGTCCAGGTGCCCCCAGAGAGTAACCAAACACAGCAGAAGCATGTCGATGTTTGAAGTAAGAAGGCGCTTGAAGTAGATTGGGATCTGGGAATCCAGAAATGCCGACTTTCAACGACCGACGTGTAACTGCAGGGGGGAAATAGGTGCACCACTCGGGCCACAGAGGCCCCCCGTGAGGCCTTCAAGGGCCCCTTCAGGGGCCCTGAGGGGTCCCTTCCCTGCAGCCGTCGGGCCCGTCCTCCTACAGGGGGATTTTGGAGGAACAAGTAACAACAGTCAACAAATACTCCAAAATGGCCAAAAGATGCCCCAAAAATCGTCCCCATACTATTGTTTCGTTTTTTGTGTGAATATTCCTCCTATAGAGGGACACGCCCGACTTAACATTACGCGACGCCCAAACCCCCGACGGTATGATTCTGCCGGGGCCGGCTTTTCACCCTGGGCCGTTTTGACGGCCCCGCAACCTGGCGAGGGCCCTCATGGGCCAAAAGCGCCCGCCGTGTTTACTTCACGACGCGAGGGGGTATGGGGACGCTGAAGTCTGGGGCTGAGCTAGAGGAACAACAGGAAGGCAAAAACAACAAAAACTGTTGACGGTCCGAGCCGATTCCTTGGATCTGCGCGGGACCTCCCTCCCAGGCGCGCGGAGCGCGCCAGGGGCGGCGCCGGAGGCGCCGCCAGGGGGGGAGGCCAGCGCGGATCCAAGAAATCCGCGCGGAGCACCACAGTGTACGCTCATGGCGTTTTAACCAAATGCCGCGGAACTTTCCCAGTGATAATGAAGTTCGGCCTCCGCGCCCTCCGCCTATATTTGAAACCCTTCTAGGCCGACGATAAAAAACTCTAACGACTCAAGGGGGAGGTGTACTTTATTACCCTCGGCATGCGGTTACCCTCGGCGTGCTGCGGAGCCCAAGCTGAGAGCTCCCCCTCGGCGCCCCTGGCCTCCGAGCCTCGGCGCCCGGCCTCCGGAGCCCCGAGGAACACGTCCCTCCGCGGCCCCCCTCGGAGCCCAGCCGGGGAACCCCCCTCCGGTCTTGGGCGCCCGAGTTATCCAGGGTAACTCGGGTCCGGGGTAACTCGGGTTTTGGTTCCCGAAAAAACGAACCCGAGTTATCCCTGACCCGAATTACCCCTGATAATTCGGGGCTCTGGACGCCCGAGTTATCCGGGGTAACTCGGGTCCGGGGTAACTCGGGTTCGGATTCCCGAAGAAACGAACCCGAGTTATCCCTGACCCGAGTTACCCCCGATGATTCGGGGCTCTGACGGTCCTCCATCAGCGACGCGCGCTCCGAGAGCGTGCGGCTGGCCATCACCAGCACCAGCACGTCCGCGGCGCCGGCGGGCCACGCCCCCGGCGCGCGGCGCGACGGGCCCCCGCCGGGCCTCCGCTCGCCGTACTCCGCGAGCGTGAGGAAGCGCTCCTCGTGCGCGGGGGGGGGGGGCGGCGCTGCGGCACCGGGGCCGCCGCACGCGCGGCCAGGGCCGCCCCGTGCCCTGGCCACGGTGCGCACGGTACGGTGGCTGCTTTCGATACTCCAGATCTCGTAATAAAAGGGAGGGGGTCTGGACCCTCCAAGACAAGCCATTTCAGACCTCCCCCGTGGGAGAACCCTCCCTAACATCGTCCCCAGACCCCCCCAGGCCCTCCAAGATAGCCTGGAAGAGACCCCCCCCGAAATGAGACCCCCCTCCCTTTATTACGAAATCTGGAGTACGGTGGTTGTTTTCGATAGGGAAGGGGCCCAGGATCTCGCGACCGATGGGCGGCCACACGTGGGCCACGCACCTCGCCGTGAAGCAACAGGGACTGCGCCGAGGTCTGGGCCCCGGGCAGACGTTCCTTCTTCAGTGCCGCCGCCGCAGGTTCGTGCGGCGTGGGCGCGCGCAGAGGTTGCTGGCACCGCGTCGGTCGTTCAGCCTTGAAGCGATCGCGGCCCCGATCGTCCAGGGTTGAGATCAGTCGGGTCCAGTGTCGCCAACGTGTCCCTCGGTGCCTCCGCGCCGCAGGGCCCAACCTTGAACGCCTTCGCTGGCGTCACCGGCGAGCCATCGCCGCATGAACCTGCCGTAACGCCCTCGGTGACCGAGAGGCCAGGAGAGTATGTGCACCATCCTGGGGCCCAGGATAGCCCCAAAGGGTCTTCAATACAATAAACCCCCGGGCAATAATGGGAAAATTCATATTTTTCCGCCGGCTTATTGGCGGATTGGGACCCCGACAATAGTTGGAAAAAAATCATTCTCGTCGGCGGATGCATGAGAGGTCATCATTAAAAAGGGGGGAGGCGCGAGGAGGAGGGAGGGAGGGAGGGAGGGAGGGAGGGAGGGGAAGGAGGAGGGAGGGGAAAGGAGGAGGAGGGACGAGCTCCTCTTCCCCGCCGTGAGCTCAGGCGGGGGGGGGGTGCAGCATCAAAGACCCTCTGCGGTCAGCCCTGGGCCGGCGTGCTGCACATAGTAAAACAGGGCTAGGATCGGGATAAATCGCTCCAGAGCGTTCCGGAGCGCTCTCAGAGCGTGCCGGAACGCTCTGGAGCGGCCGCGGCGCCCAAAACATCCTCCAAACCCGCCGATTCTCAGAGATTTCGAGTTATCCCGATCCGATGTTGTCCCGATCTTCGCGTCGTTTTACATAGGCCGGCGGAGGGGAGCCAGACACTGAAACACGCAGCTCCGCGCGGACGCCTTGGGTCGGCGCGCCCCGGGCCCCCAGGGGCTCCTCCTTCTCCTCCTCCTCGTCCTCCTCCTCCTCCTCCTCCTCCTCCTCCCTCCTCCTCCCCCTCCTCCTACTCCTCCCCCTCCCCCTCCTCCTCCTCCTCCTCCTCCTCCTCCTCCCTCCTCCTCCTCCTCCTCCTCCTCCTCCTCCTCCTCTCCTCCTCCTCCGCTCCTCCTCCTACTCCTCCTCCCCTCCTCCTTCCTCCTCCTCCTCCTCCTCCTCCTCCTCCTCCTCCTCCTCCTCCTCCTCCTCCTCCTCCTTCTTCCTCCTCCTCCTCCTCCTCCTCCTCCTCCTCCTCCTCCTCCTCCTCCTCCTCCTCCTCCTCCTCCTCCCCCCACGCGAGCGCGGAGCGCCCTGGAGCGGCGCGGGAGGCGCCGCTGGTTTGAAGTCGGGCCAGTCCCCCTACAAGGGGTATTTTCGACGAAACATCAAACATACTTTAGTTGTGGAAACATTTAGGGGTTTTTCGAAATGTTTGGTCTTTAGAAGCTCTGCGTGGCGACGCCGCCGTCGCCACGCGTGCCCTCTGCGTGCCTGCGGGGGCCGCCGCCACGTAGAAAAACTGGAGACCGAGCATTTGGGGCGTCGCTATGCACGCCCTCTGCGTGGCTGCGACCATTTGTTTAAAACCCTAAAACCAATTAAATTCACTAATAAAGTACCCCAAAACATACCCCCAAAAAGTCAAAACATACGCAAAAAGTGGTCCCCAGACTATTTTTGGACTATGTTTTGACTATTTTGGTGTATTTCTTTATTTTTCGTCGACATCCCCCTGTAGGGGGGCGCGCCCGACTGAACGCTAGTTGGAGGGGAGCAGCGCCCACCAATTGAGCAGGGACCGACCGTCCCGGCATTCCTATAGTCATACCACGAGATGCTCTTAGAACCCAACAATGTTCTAAGAACAAAAGCAATTTTCTTAGAACATAAACCCTATGCGTTAAAACAAGACAGTCCCAGCCAGAAATGTTCTATGAACATCTCGTGGGAACCACAAAAGGTTCTTAGAACATTGTTTGGTATGGCTATAGGCACGCCAGGACGCTTCGCCACTGCTTGAACCAGAGAAATCCGCGCGGACCTCCGACAGTGTATCTTCATGCCGTTGCTTCACTCCTCGGGGCGTGGTGGCGCCGTACGCTCTGCACTGACACCGGCCCATGGCTCTTCCCCTGCGCCTTCGGGGAGGGCGGCGGCGCGTGGCGAAGCCCTCCCCCGTGGCCCAGGAGCGGCCCACTGCGGGGGGCCCGACAACGCCGCCCATGCAGCGCACCACGTGTGGACGCCCACTCGGGCCCCGCTCCAGCGCGGCATGGTGCATTCTCTGCGAGGCGGGGGTTTAGCCACATCCACCGCCTGGGAGCCGACGCCCAGGTGCCCCAGCGGACGGTGGACATGGCAATAGTTTGGCTCCCGGGGCTCGAAGATATTCATATGCACCGCCCGCCGAGGCCCCCGAGAATTGATCCTCCATGCGGCGGTCATGTGGAAATTCCCGCCTCGGACTTTTCTGGCTCCGAGGGCCGAAAAGCTGCGCACCGCACCCGCCCGGGGCCGAGCACCGACGGCGCCCCGGGAGACGCCGACGCGGCACGCTGCACAGACAAGCCGTCCGCGGAGGAGAGGGGGGGGTCTGGGCACCACCCCCGCGTGGCGGAACGGGTGCCCCCCGCGGCGGAGGAGGAGGAGGAGGAGGAGGAGGAGGAGGCAGAGGCGGAGGAGGAGGAGGAGGAGGAGGAGGGGCAGAGGTGGAGGAGGAGGAGAGGGAGGAGGGGAAGGAGGAGGGGGAGGAGGAGGGGGAGGGGGAGGATGAAGAAGAAGACTCGGCATTGCGCGTAGTCTCTCGTCTGGCCTGCCTGGCCCCTGGACAAACGAAAGCCTAAAAAGGGAACCTCTTTTTTGTTAACTCGATCGTCCGTTCAGAGGGGGGGGAGGAGGAGGAGGAGGAGGAGGAGGAGGAGGAGGAGGAGGAGGAGGAGGGGGAGGAGGAAGCTCCTCCCAGCTCCTCGCGCCCGCCGGCGCCTCCGAGGCCGAGGGACCCCCGGCCCGCGGGCCCGGGCGCCCAGAGGCGCCCGGGGGCGCCGGGGCTCCCGCGGCGGGGGCCGCGGCGCGCCCGGCGAGGGCAGCGAGGCCGCAGAAGCGGGGGGGGGGGCCAGTCGGCGGTGGACAAACCTCAAGGGGCCCAAGGACACACAAATAAATACACATAAATAAAACGATTCCCCATATTTTCCTATATTTTCTGGGTTTATGTCTTCCCCCCCACTTCCCATATTTTCCCATATTTTCGTCGACGATTAATTGTGTCTGTGTATTTTTTCCCCTCCTGAAAACCTCCCTTTCGCAAACCTCCACATGCCACCCGAAGTCGGGAGGCCAGAGGCCAGGGCCGCCGGGGAGGCCAGCGAGGACACGGCACGCCGGCCAGGGCATGCCACGAGGACGCGGCACGGCGTCTCCTCTTCCTCCCCCCGTCGGCGGTGGACAAATCTCCCTTTCGGAAACCTCCCTTCAGTGATCACGGCCTGGGACCGACACCGACGGCCCTGGACCCGCAGAAAGGACGGCCGCGGCGGCGCCCTCTCGCGAACCGAGAACGGCCAGTTCCTCAACCGACGTGTCGGGGGGCAGGAGGTCGATTGCCCTGTCAGGGCAGGGCAGGAGGTCGACCTGCCAGGGCAGGAGGTCGACCTGCCAGGGCAGGGCAGGAGGTCGACCTGTCAGGGCAGGAGGTCGACCTGTCAGGGCAGGAGGTCGACCTGTCGGCCTGTCGAGCCAGGGAGGCGGGCCTCGCTTGCCCGAGGGGGGGGGGGGGGCGAGAGCCAAGCCGAGCACCGTCGAGAGGCTGCCCGGAGAGGGCGCGCGCGAAGGCACGGGACCCTTTCCGCGGGCCGCGCTGCCACGGGAGCGCAGGAGGCATGGGTCGCCAGGCACGGGACACAGGAGCACCCTTGATTAAGTCGGGCCTGTCCCCCTGCAGGGGGATTTGCGACGAAAGGTAAAAAGTGCCCCAAAAGTACCCCGGACAGGTCAAACAAAACTCTAAAAATGGTCCCCAGACTATGTTTGGAGTATTGTTTGACTATTCTTGGGGTATTCTTTATTTTTCGTCGAAAATCCCCCTGTAGGGGGACAGGCCCGACTTAACCCTTGATTTGGCAGGGCCGACCTGCCAATCCGCCTCGACTGTAGGGGGTGGACTACAGAATCGAGCTGCCCCAGAACTGGTCTTCTCTCATCGAGTCATGCGTAGAGTGTTCGTAGATCTACGAACATGAACATCCAACGCATTTCCAATGGATGCCACTGACAAGTCAACTTCTGGGGTAAAGCAATTCTCTTGTCGATCCCCTACTCGACTTGTGGGGTGGGGGGGGCGAAGGGACGTGCAACTTTCGTGCCCCTTTCGGGCCCCAGGGGCCTCCTTTTAGGGCTCCTTCAGGGCACAAGAGGTGCTCCTTCCTTACAATGGAAACCCATGCCAAGAGACACCCTGCTGGCCTCCAGGGTGCCCTGAGCTTCTTGGGTTTATATTGTCTCGCGATGGGAAGCGTGACGTTCCCACACCAAAAAGCGGACGTCCTGGGGTCTCAGGGCCGGTTTCCTTGTGCAAGGTTTGCTGTGATCGAGCTCCTACGGCATCACGCCCCCTTGGTGATCGCCCCCCGCGGCGCAGCGACCGAGGGAGGGATTAGGGGGCCAGAT